GACAAACTGTATATTAGTATATAATATATACATAGGTATGAGTTTTATATCCATTACTCGAGAAATAATTGGTTCCCCATACAAACTTGTATCCCTTTAAGGGATGATTTTCCCTTCCAGGATCTCAAACTATCTTCATACCTCACCTAAATCGATTCAGCGGATTTTTAATTTATCCATTACAAATAAACTCACAAACTTTGCTTCTTTATAATATTATAGCGTAGATATAAATTTATTGGCAAAGTTTAACACACAGGAGAATATTCTGAATATATACAACATATACAGAAGTTACACTTTATACTTCTAATATAAAACAAAATATCGGCGTAATAAGACGCGTATGTTTCTGTATCAAGTCGCAAAAGGCAGAGGATAAATCAGTAGTACAAAATAAAACGACATATAATTACAATACTTTAATAATGTAAAAACCTACTCCTAACAAAGTCCGTCCAACAACGAATGGACATACCAAGTTCGTCACTCGTTGTTTCATTTCCAAGTACTTAGATCATTTTGAAATCGCCTTATTAATAAAACAAACTAAAGACTTAACGTTAATAATAGACGTAATAATAAAAAATATTACTAATAATTATAGTTAGAGATATTATTGTACTAAGAATATAGTCTTGAACAATCCAGCAAAAACTAAAAGTTTGTATGGGTCATACAAAAACTATCCTACAAGCTTTTATTTTTATGCTAGAAACATTTTATAAGGTGGAAATACAGTATATAATAATGGACTTTCTTAGAACAGATACATAATGTATATATTGACATTTATATTTTTTCATTTTCATCATATTAATATTAATATTTTATAATAATAAGGCGTTTAAAAAATGTCTAACGTAAAAATAGAACCGACTTCAAAACCATTTAAAGAAATCAAAGAGAAAAAAACGAATAAAATCATTTGATAATATGCAAAGATAAAATTTAAAAAAAAAAATTGATAACCTCTTTGTTGAAGTCGGTTAAAAACATGCAAGTCACAAGTGAAAATAGCTTAAGAAAATTTAAGCTACCAATGATTAAATCAACCATTTACATAACAACCACCGCCATATAATGTATATAATATACTTCAGACTAAAAAATTATATAGACGGAGTCCTCTAAAAGAAATGTCAAAATCCAAAACAGTAGCATGATTTGCTGTTTAAGCTACTATCCTCGATTTTGACAAACATTTCGTTTACATTTCTTTAATAAGAAATTTTATATTTGTATAAGTTAATATATGATAATTGTGACTAAAATAATATTATATTCTTTTCTATTCTCAAGCGTTAGTTCTCTTCCCCTTGAAAGAGAGATAACATAATATTTGCTTATTTAATATTTTTTTAATTATAATAAAATCCGTTAGCTATTTTTGTTTATTATCATATATTATTTTAAAACATTAGTTTGGCTTCATGTTTAGTTCTGCGACTCTGTCTATATTATTCCGTGATCTAAGCATAATACATATAAAATATACATTTTATAAAATTGCCTACATGCTAACAATTTAGTAACAATGTTTTATTAGACACGTACAACACTACAATAATTTGTATTATACGTTGTGAAATTAATTTGTTTAATATTTTTTTATTCTAGAAAAAGACGTTAAGTTTATTAAATTGATATTTTATACTAAAAAAAGCTGAACTAAAAATTACCTAAAAAATTATTTTACATTCACATGGAATCAATCCCGTGGTAAAATAAGCCGACTCATTAAAAGAGTATCAATATCTATACACGCTAGGCGAAGTTGTATTGAACATACACGAAAAAATTGCCTTTTTTGAAACCTATAATAATAATTTCATATATATTCTAGAGCATACTATTATTTAGTGAACATTATATATTTATAAATTATTCATACTTTTATTTATCCGTAAAATATTTTTAATCTGTGTTAATAATAATAATATGGAAGGTAGAGAGAAAAAAGTATCAACTTGTATTCTGAAAATAGATAGCGCTGGCGTACGAAAAACTTCGAAATGAATTTAGCCGTTGCCGTGCCGAGTACAAAAATTTAAAACTTATGATGACTAAAGTAGTTACTGAAATAGCAGTAAAACCTCGAGTATTTACTCCATAATAATTTAGCAAATATAACCATGCCAACACGCACTTGGCCAGCGTGGTGGGCTATGGCCTGATACCCCTCGTATTGAAGGAAGGCCCACCCCCAGCAATGGGACGTTTAAAAAGGGCTGAATACAAATATAACCATCCTTGTCTATTTCTCTATCTTACTCTTATTATTTTTGGTGCTTCCTTTAAAATGTATCCCACGCTGCCGCAGCGCCACTCTTATTGGACGCGTTTTGACGGACACTTTTTCATGACAGAGATTGTACTCCTTATGTCTATTGTCTACCATTCATTTAAAATAAGCAAAATGGCGGTGGCACTTGTGCGAAAAAAGAACACTGAAATATAAACATCAAATCAATCAAAAACTGTTAATGTTTGTACAAATCAATTTTGGACCCCATGTTTTACACAACAATGTATTTTATTATCTTACGTTCAATCTTTACTGTACAAATATTTATTGAAATAAATACGAATCGAGATATTTTTTCATTATAAACATCGATCAACAATCAGCGACAAAAAATTACCTCACCGAATGAACGCTCATTTGAACATTTGAGCGCGCTTAATTTTTGTGAAAACAACTTTAAGCATTGCATTTAAGGTTCAATTTACATTGTTGTATATTTATTTTAACTAGAATAATTACCTAAACACAATTGGTGACAGTTATAATACCTCCAGGTAAATATCTAAGAAATCTATTGTTCACTGTAACGCCGGCGTGGCCGCGGTCGTGGAGGGATTAAAGGAACTTTTGCATGGTTTTGTGTATCTAGTACTTTTTTGATCGACGTTATGGATATACCTCTTCGGATATGAGAGAATGAGGTATACGGACCATATAAATCTATAAAGGAAACTGTCCAAAATAATAATGAATTTAAATTAATAAATGAAATGAAATATATGGAAATGCAATAATTACTATTAATATTTTTTAATTAATATTAATAACAAGGTTGTAATATTAAAAAAAATAATAAACTCGCAGTTACTTCTTACTACATAATATATTCGGGTATATTGACGATATAGTATTATAAATGAGCTCATTATAATTCCATTTCTGACTCAAATCACTATCTCCTGCACGCTTTGTGTATCTCATTCTTTGTTTAAGTCTATAGGTTGAATAAAAGCGCAAAAATGGCCCAAATTGGCAAACAATTTTTAAATATAAAACAGATCGATATCATAAAAAACCTCAAAAACGTTATTTGGTTTATTATAATATCCTGTCGTCTTTTCGTATGTTTATCGAAAAAAGTTTTTTGGGTTCCGTACCCGTAGTGTACCAAAGGAACACTATAGCCTCTGCTGTCCGTCTGTCCATCTGTCAGCGGGCTGTATCTCATGAACCGTAAGAGTTGAATTTTTCAATGTGTATTTCATGTTAACAACCAATATGGCGAATTTCAAAATGGCCACCATCTAAATTAATAAAAACTACGAATTCATAATGTTATATATTATACGATGGTACGGAACCCTTCGTGTGCAAATCCAACTCGCACTTGAACGGTTTTTTAACGATATGCCATTTTTGTGCTAATACCAGGATCGAAATCCCAACTACAAATAATTGGTATCAAATATTATGTACAGAACCTATCCAGCAAAAGGAGTACCTTATGTAAATTATAAATTAACATATCCATCTTACAAAATGTAAACAAAAATAAAATGGCTGTTTTATCAAACAAACAAATTATTATTATAGAACTCTTTAAGAATATACATAATCAATTTTATAGTTTATTGATCATGCTACATTGAGTCTATAGTAATTTATAAACTGAAATTTGACGATAAAAGAATTATAATAAAATATAAGATATCTTTGAATTTATAATTGCTATATAAAACAAAGATACACATTTCCTAACAAATATCTCTTCAAAAAGTGGCGTCGAAATGTAACATTAAGTCAAACCAAACAATAAAATTGTCTAAACACAAATTCGAACTTAAGCACACCACATAAAGGACTTTTTCAAACAAAACATTTTTTTTATTTTGTCACATAAAAAGCAATGAACAGAAGAGACTTGAAAAAAGCGCAATTCAATTTCGAATTATGCACTTCTTTTTGAGAAGACATTTGAGATGCTAATTGTATATCTCGAGTTTCTGTATATCAATGTTTGAAATGTATTTTTATAATATATCATTACTTACTATACCCATATATAATCTACAGTCAAACGATGAATGGCTCGCCTTTTTTATTTTACCTTTACTAGAAAAGTATACAATAATTATATAAGAAGTATTTCTGTACAAACCGCATCAATACAAAAATCAATCATTTCTATCAAATAAAAATGATATAACAGATCTTTTTCGCAAATAAAATTTAAATGTCAGTACAAAGAAGCCATTCATGTATTACATGTATGTAATGAATTCGAAAACATAAAAATTTACTTCAAACCTGTACACATTAGGGCTGAAGGCATATTAGCTGTAATTTTGGAAAATATTTTTTTACATAAAAATCCATGTCTTAACGTAAGACGACAGACTATAAAAAATATTTTTATTATCTGTATGACATAAAATACACAATTGATTAAAAAAAAATTAAGCCAAAGAAAAAATATTTTCCAATTACAATAATAACATAGTAAAGAAGAATTGCTCTTCTATGAAAAAAACAAAAATAATAAATAAATATATCCGTCTCATACAAATCAATTAGTCCATCTATTGTTTTGTGTATAAAATACTGAATCAAATTTGATGAAAATGAATATAAATCTTCAAACACATTCAATACATAAGTAAATGAAGACAGATATGTATGTATGTAAATAAATTTTACATTTACCCCAAACAAACTCGAACCCATTTCTGTTCTTTTGTTAAGTATATGATCAATAATTTCTGAAGCTCCTGTTGGGTTTGAACCCTCCCGGAGAGGAGTTGAGGAACAATTCTATGTAACGATGGTCCATGTTGTTTTTGTCTCTTCTCATTGCCTGGAAAAATATAAATTAAAAAATGAATACCTCAGTTTTAAAAACAATTCAGTATTGACACTTGGTGACATGTGTATTTATTTCAAAATAATTCGCTTAAGTAGCCCAGTGGTAAAGCGCTTGCTTCGGAAACCGAGTGAAACGGATTCATACCCCGGGTCTTGCACCTCGGATACTTTCATGTGCGAATCATTTCGTACATGATTCCCACTTGCCTTACGGTGAAAGGGAACATTGTAAGGAAACCTGCATGTCTGGGAGAAGCAAATTTTCGAAAGACATGTGAAATCAGCCCGCACTTGGCCTATCTCAATAGTATTGAAGGGAGACTCGTGCCCAGCAGTGGGATGCTAAAGTGCTGAATACAATCTTATTTGTATCATATTATATGCACGCATCTAAGTTACTCTTAGTAAATTTGTTATATTATACATACTCTCATGGCATCTTCATGGCATTCAAATTCAACATCTGCTTCACCAGAGGGCCTGCCGCTGTTGTCATATAAAATGTTAATGTTCACCGGCCTGATGGGTTTGAAGAACTGGAAAACAATTGTTGAAGTTATACTCCTTTTGGCATGTTTGGAAAAAACTATGAGAGTAAAATTTTTACGATGCGCGCGCACACCGACAGCCAAAAAGGGACATGATGATGTTAGCTAATAACTGTTTGTTGCCATGGTAACCGTTGTTATTGTCTGACTATTGATATATAATATTGTATTCTTTTCTTAAATGATATTCTATAAATATGTGAATGTGTGTAATATGCCTTATTTATTTTTATTAATTTATCATTCCTTTTACAAACAAGGAGTTGTGACATACAGGATGAAATCTTTAGCTATTTTTGTTCTGTTACGCCAAAGAACTATAACTAGTTCTGAGAGAGAAACATTTTAAGAATTGACTTTTTCTTATTAGTACTGTACACATGTATAAATACATTTAATAAAAAATTTGTTAGTTTGACATTACAAACAGTCACTTCAATTTTATTTATCTGTATAGAGGCTACGAGTTAGGCAACCGAGGTAGTATGTGTGTGCAATACTCACATAGGCAATATCCTGCGGCGTCGCCTTGAAGGGCAGGCCGCGCATGTGCACGCAGTAGCACGCGCTGCCGCGCCGCCCGCCGCCGCGCGGGTACGCGCCTCCACCGCCGCCTATAAATAAATAAAAAAACCCTTTATTTCTTGCATATAAAAACAAAAAGTCAATTTACAAAGCTTTACAGATTTCATGAATATATATTCTTATTATATTATAACTGCCTCGGTGATGTAGTGGCTAGCATGTACGGCTGCACATTCGGAGGTCCTGGGTTCGAATCCCGGGTCGGGCCAAGTTTAGCTATCGAGTCTTTCTATATAGTAACAGTAACAGCCCGGAGTTGCGAAGTTGGCGATGTTTCACCCCCGTGCCTCGGAGAGCACGTGTCACGTCGGTCTTGCGCCGACACTCTCACCGGTCGTGTCTCGTGTCGTCCCACCGGAGTATGAGAGTGACGTGTGAAGAAGGTTAATTTCAAACAAATGTTTTAAATATATTATTAAAGAACAGTTTTTTATCATTGAATTTACTTTTATATTTTTTCTTTCTCTTAGCGTTTTGTGTACCATGTACATCTGACACGTTTTTCAAATCTCCTAATCGATCTACATTAGCTTGAAACTTTTATGATAAAAATAATATATTTTAAGCTTTATTTCGTACCCGTTTCACATGAAATGCCCCACTAGTATATTACTACCCAACTGCCTCGTTAGCCGAGACTCTTGTGGCTTGCGTATACAGTTGCAGTTCGGGAGATTCTAGGTTCGATTCGAGGGCCAGCTCATAATCGTTGTTTTCTTTAATGATAATGAAATACACTGATCAACTATAAGTTGGGAAGCTGGTGTTTACACCATTGTGACTGTGACTCAGAGAGCATGCTAATCTGTCGGTCTTGCGCCTTATCTCTCACTGATCGTGACGAGCTGTCATCTCACCGTAATATAAGAGTTAAAGGAACAGTAAATGCACGTTATGTCTGTGGCACACGCGCATTCTGTACAATGTAACCTCCTGCAGGTGGCTTGATTAGTACGAGTATCTGCCGTAAAACGAAAGTCGGTTTGGAGGAAAATGATTATTCCTATTCAACTTACCCCTTCCAAATGAGCCACGGCCCCTGCTACCAAATCTTCCAGCGTATCTATCATTCCTGTCATATGGAGTCGGTCTGTACCCTCTCGAGGATTTGAACCCACCACCTTCCATTCGCTCACCGTATTCCCGCACTTCATCGGCTGAACTCAAGAACACCTCTATGTATCTGAAATCAGAAGGGAGATATTGAGGTTTGGTGTTATTTTTTCTTTTCCTTAACTTTCTTGGCTTTACTTCTTTGTTTTTTTTTTAAATGTTAGACTAGCAAAGTTTTAATCATTTGTGGCCAATAGAACCTCCACCTTTTTTGAAGTTGGTTTAGAAGTATAGCTATTGACAAATAAATATAGTGAATTCCTTTTGTTTGGAAATGATGGATGGAATCCTTGAAATATGGAATTTAAAAAAAGTTAATACAAATATTTTTTCACATTGATTTTTCATAATCATTATGTCATGAACAAACCAAACAAAATAAAAAGTTGACATATTACCTAATGTAATATGCATAAGTGCAAGTAACTTTTTAAATTCCCAATATTTATTCCCAAGCATTTACTTGATGCTCTAATACCATATTGTTTAATCTCATGTAATCAAAAATAAATGTCATGTACTACAGACTAAAAAAATAAATAAACATATTGTCTATAAGTCCACCAGTCTTCCCGTCTTCATTTCCCGGCCGCTCCCCGCGCCCTCCCGCCTCCCCGCGCCCTTCCATCGCCCACCTTTGACAACTCAATAACCAATCACGTATGCATTTCCGAATGCAATGACATATGACATTTTATACAATAAAACCATATGCAACAATAATATTTTTGGTAGTCATTTATTTTTTGGACTTAGTTGTGACTGCCTTGGCATGTAGTATACTTCCGATACGTACCAATACTGTGTCTCACCCAAATATTTGTATTTATATGTCATACCATAGATACATAAGTTTGTATCAATTTATCTAGTAGTAGCATTTACTACATACCTTTTTTAGACAGAAAAATAAAATCATTGTTTATGGTATTATCATAAAAAATGTCATGTATATGAGCATTCTAGAAATGCAGTAATATATTGTATATTAGCCCTTATTTAACTAAATTATCCCATTTTTTTTGTCTTATTCAAACACCTCCATCACATTAACAGAAACCATGATTTATAGAATGACACCCCGTTACTAATGTCGGACCACAGATTTAACAAAACCCAGTTGTCAAATATTACAAAGAATAAACCTACTTTTATTTGATAGAGGAATGCAAATGTTGATTCAATTTCTATAAATCACAGTAAAAAATAAACGGGTCCCATAATAAACCCACTACACCAATATACTGAAGATTTGTGCGCTTTTATAAAAAAAAATGTGGATATTATGCAATATTGTTGTCAGTACCCCTGCTATGTGAACATAAAAAATCTACATGCAACATAATATCTAATTAATACCACATCAATGTACTTTATAAAAACTCAAAATTTACTACAAAATAAAATCCCAAAACCAATTAAAAGTATTCATATTAAAAAACAATAATTCCAGACGTCAGTTGCATTGCTAAGACATCTAAAAAACTTAAGCCACAGAATTCAACTCAAAATGATGAATAAAGAGCCTTATTAAAAAAATATCCCATATACTTTGACATAACAACATTGCAAAATACCCACAAATCGCACATAAAGCTTGCCCCGCACCTGTGTCCTATTTTCTCCCTGTCCCTCTCCAGAGCGTCCTGAGCGCTCTGCTTGTCAACGAAGTATACAAACGCCTCGCCCGAGGCCCGCCCCGTGTGGTCCGATAGCAAGTTGACCCCCTCGGGAGCCACCGACAACCCTGCCCCAGTATAAATTATGTTATAGCTGTTTTTGCATTGTTTGTGAATATGTCTATATTCTGGGTAAATATTAGTTGTAGTGGTTTTCATTGATGTCAGCTAACTAATTTCAATTTTATAAAACAATATTTTGTACAAAGCCTGAGAAAGGTGGCAAAATATATTTAAGTACCATAGTTTTTATAAGTATAGATGCAAATGATTATTTTTTTTTTACTTAGGTTAACCAATATAATAATATTTTTGGTTAAATAATATTATTGAATAATAATAAAAAAATGAAAATGTTAAATTTGTTTTACATTTTATTTTTGGATTATTATTATGAAAGAGTTCATTGATTCAATTCTATGGTTGAAATTTTTGTACTATAAATTGAAGCTCAAATTATCAAATATAATATGAAAAACCACATATTAAGCCCTTTTAATATGACATATTCACATGAGCCTAATAATTATTCGTGTAATAGTTCTGTTAAGAATAAAAATGTTTCTCAATTTAAATATTCATGGAGAAAATTGTAATTGTTTTTTAGTGACAAGTGCAATTTTGTAATCCTATACATCCCCAAATGGTAGATATGTTTATGTTGAAGTAATATATAGAATTGTGTTTGTGAATAGAACTTACCATCAAAAAATTGAACAATTTCTTCTTTAGAGCAGCCAAAAGGCAAACCCCTCAATTTGACAATGCCAACATCATCAGATACATCATTGGGAATACTATCAAAACCATTTTCTGTTTGGCGCATGGCGTTCAAAGCCCATTCCATATCTTGACGATCAGTAGAGAATACTAAAAAAATTAGGCATTAATATTTTTTAGAAAATATTTTAATATTTTTGATAGTAGAGTTTGATTCCGTTTTTCAAGATAAAATCCTTATACCTTCAATATATCTTTTGCCCATGTTTTCTTTATCCTTTTTCAGAGCTTCTTCCACGTCTTCCTGACTCTGCACTTCTACAAAACATTCTCCGGATGGCCTTCCTGGGTGCACTTCAGTTAAATGGACACCTGTTTCAAAAATATTGAAAAATCCACATGAGTGCTGTATAAAAGCCAGTGAGTAAAAATAAATGCAATGCGATCGATATAGCGTCATGCCGCCATTATGCATTTATTCATTTCTAACTAAATTCAGTAAAAACATTAATGTTTACCTTCTTTTCCATTAATTACATTAACACCGCTTAGAAAGTCTAGGACATCTTCAGTAGTCGTGGAGAAAGGCAAACCACGAAGTTTAACAATGTGGCTACCGTCACCCGATCCCAACATTTTGAAAAGAAGTTCAAGTCGACTAAATAAGTACGTTTTATAATGTATAACAATTATGTATTTGTGAAAGATTCTTTTGATTATAAGTTACAAATTTTCTCTCGGTTAAAAATAGACAGAATTTACACTCGGCGTCGGAACTCGCAACACGCAAAATCGTGACGTCGATTTTAGTCTTTACCAAAGAGTATAGTTATATACTGGTTTTTACTCACTCTCACAGATAACAGATTGTACAGTAGATAGATTGTAGAATGTAGAGATATTTTTATAATAGGGAAGAATTTTGCCTTTTTCTCCCACTAGATGTCGCAATCACTATAGCCCTCAGTATATTGTAAAGCTCTAGCGTACTTCGATCAATAGTACTACTACATAACGTGTCACATACGAACTCAAAGCTAAATTCTGTCCGCGTGAATACCTATGTACTTATACAGCTACATTTGTATAGTAACGGACCAAGACAAAGTCTTATAATAGTTTTATTTACAACCTAATCAACACCATAGCATCTTGTAATAAAGTCACAAATCTTCAAATTATCATCATATACTTACGATCATTTCGTAAGTATTATAATCTTTATTATAAAATCAACCTTACATCAAAATCTCAAAGCACTTCTTTCCGTTTTGCTTTGTTAGCAATATCGTTATGTTTTGTTTCTGTTTACTTCTTAGAATATGCGCCGGTATTGGCCGACCTGGGCCAACATTCTTAGCGGATTTAAAATTGTTCAAAATTTCATTTTTATTTTATTTTGTAGGTTAAATTTTAAAATATTGACATAACATACATGTATTTACCGAAAATAAGACACTCCGTCTGAAAAATTTCTTTTTCGTGCATTATTTTTGTAACTTTTAAATATATTACGGTATTGTGAACGTGTTTACACTTGCAGTGTTTCAATAGAACTAATCGAAATATAAGCTCACTTTGCAAGTGAGCTTATATTTACCGAGACGGATTACTTACGCCGACCCGATATCTAGTAGTATTGTTGATCGAATATTTATACTTTTTTACATATAAATTACAGAGCTTCGTACAAACTTTCATTCCCTATTTTACAGCCTCATGGGATTGAATTTGATGATTTGAATTGAAACATGGTATAACATTGCCGGTCGAGATTCCACTAAGACCCCTAAAAGTGGGTTAAAAAGGATTTGTATAAAATAACGTAAAGAATTAATGTTTAAACTAATAAATTAAGTCTGTCAAAGCCAGAAAAGACTGCGCCTTGTTATTGAGATATTTATGAAAAAACACCATTTCGAATAAATGCCTAGTGCTTTTAATACGGAAAAAAAAGTATAATTTGTAAATAAACACTTATATGCATAATCTTCAATTCAATATTTTTATTCTGCTACATATTTGTTTGTATTTTTACTACATACTTTTTGGCTCTTTATACATTTATAATAATTTATCAAATTTGTTTTATTATCTGCATTCGTTTTCAAATGCCGAAATTTCGTAATGCTCAATCATCAATGGTTATTGGTTATTGGTTCTTGTTTTTTCTGGTCTATGCTCAAGTCAATGGTTTTATGAGTTATGACTTATTAAAGATAAGGCCTTAGATTTATGTCAATCTCTTTAATTCTAACATTTCCACCGCTGTATTACTTGTAAACGTGGATATAATATGGATGATAATTAGTATAAGTTTTGTTATGCAATAGACTTTAATCCCAAGTTTGGAAACACGAATGCAGAGGTTTGAACTTTGAGTATCAAAAACATTTTTCAACGTGCGATATTGGATATATCTAAAATGACGGTGGACGGGAACGAAAAGCCCCAACGGGATCGCGTATTCATGGACATTACGATCGGTGGTTTGCCCTCCGGTCGTATAGTATTTGAATTGTTTAATGATATAGCTCCGAAAACCGCGGAGAACTTTCGAGCGTTATGCGCCGGAGATATGGGTGTTGGTAAAGTCACAGGAAAACCATTGACTTATAAGGTTAGTACAATTTTCCTATGTAAATGTAGATTTTTATTCATGTATTTTTCATCGTATCAATGCTTGATTGTTAAGAATATATATATATATATATATATATATATATATATATATATATATATATATATATTTTATATTTACTGTGTAGGGTATGCTCTTTCACCGTGTGGTGAAGGACTTCATGATTCAAGGGGGAGACTTCACAAATGCGAATGGAACTGGAGGAGAGTCTATATATGGAGGCACTTTTGAAGGTAAATAATAACTTATTGAAGATGTAATTATTATGTATTGTTTACTTTCAATATTAATTTAAAAATAAGTGATTATAAACAATTTACTTTATTAGATTTATTTAATTTTTCATTCATAATTTTCAGACGAGACATTTGAGGTCCAGCACGATAGACCATATTTGCTGTCCATGGCTAACAGGGGCAAGGACACAAATGGTTCACAGTTCTTTATGTAAGTCATGAGAGATATATGGTAAGGGAATTTTGTTTACATTGCGGTAGAGAGTGCAATTATCCCAATTTTTGTATCTTTTAAATATTAATTTTATTATATCTGTTGTATCTTTTCTAGTACATATGCATTATTTTTGCAATTATTATTTTTATATTTGTTCTTGTTAAAATAGTAAAAATGGCTGAGTTTTATTATTCTTAAAGAAAGAAAAGTAATTGAAAATTTATGCTATCTGTGGAAGTACAAAGAATATTGAGCTCAAACTGCTCTCTGGATTGATGTGACTGTAATTATTATTCTGTTGAGTTTTCATCAGGAATATTTCCTGTCCTGTAAATTTTATTAAAATCCTGCAAGGATATTATAGAGGAAATACAGATTGGTTCCACAGATATACATAAATGTATAGAAAAATATTCATTTGTCCATCTTTCACCATGTCTACACATATAATAAAATTCTAACTGAATTGAATCTGTACATTAAATATTTTTTGGAAAATCTTATTGTAATAGTCATTATTATTGATACAGAGGCTGAATCTATAGTTTTTAGAATTTTTGTCTATAGGTCTATCTGTAATTGCATTATGAGATAACCCCTGGATAGGTTTTGTCATCAAAAATTTCACAATTTGGTGTGATAATAGCTAGTTTTTCGGATCAACATAGATGGTACTTTTTACTGCAGGAAAATATCTCATGTCTGAGAAATCTATACTAAACATTAAAACATAACTAGGAACGAACCCGAGCAGAGTGAGGGTGAGTTGCTAGTTAAAAAAATATATTTCAAAAGTGTAAAGGTTAAACTACATAATATTAACATGATTGTAATTGAAAATATGTGTTTTTTTGCCTGTTTGTCGAAAAATAACACAAAACTGTGCAATAACTTCCGATAAATATTAGTATGAAGGAAAAATTCATCAACGGGAACGGTTGTGATACAATAAGTATTAGAATACATGTATTGATACGCGTGTTGTTACGTAGAACGCGGCCGCGGCGGCGAGCGGCGCGCTATCATTCTTGTTGTGTTCTGTGTGTTGTAGTACAACACAGCCGGCACCGCATCTCGACAAGTGAGTATAGTTTAGGAGTATTTTTTTTTATTTTTAGGCAGTTTAACTGTAACATAATAAATAATTATTCTATTATGTTATGATTTTTGGTCTCTTATATAAAATTATGTACTATAAAATTTAGAAGAGGTTAAAAGGCTATCTGTAATTTTGTTGTGTAAATTGTATGTATATAAAGTGACTATTATTATTTATTATAAGTTTTTTTATTCAAGTAATAGATTACACTTTACAAACTTTAAAATTTATAATACTCTAATAGAAAAAAAAATGTGTATAGTATTGCATGTTGAAACAGTATAGAATATACTACATAGTAAAAGAAAATATGCACAAATGGTGTATAATATTTTTATCCATACAAATGCACGTCGATGGCTCTATAAAAAGTCTTCATCTGTATAGGCCTTTAGGCTACTGTTTGTAGGGTCAATAGTAGTTTTTAATATGAACTTAATGTAAATAAATGTATAACGACACTAACTGGTGTGTGTGTCTGCGTGTGTGCAGTGTACACTGTGTGTTCGGGCAAGTGGCGTCGGGCGCGGCGCTCGTGCGGCAGCTGGAGGCGCTGCCGGTGGACCGCAACGCGCGCCCGCTGCAGGACGTGCTGGTGGCCAATTGCGGGCAGCTGGTGAAGGTGGAACGTGAGTACGACATGTTCTGTTCCTCAGCTTCATCATCAGGATGGTCTTCGTGATGATTCAGGCCGTCATCATCATGGATCCTAATGGCCTGGATGATCTGTCTTTAAAAATATAGCTGTATTATAATATAGCAGCTGTAGAAGGTTGAACGTGAGTTCTCCATGTTTTGTTCCTCATCATCATCAGGATGGTCGTCGTGATCCAGGTCATCATCATCATGTATCCTGATGATGGTACAGGAATTCAACATGTGACCTCTGGCATTGAAATGAATGCTTCAAATAATTCATAATAAGTAATGCTAGTTTGTATATACACTGTGTATACTGCCTGTGTTAATCTATCTACATTTAGAATTTCATTGAAATCCTTTAAACCATTACTGTTAAAAGGAGTAACAAATGTATATAAAATAGATATGTTGCATTTATAATATTATTGTAATGAATATTGTTTCATTTAAAAACAAACAGGTAAGAAGCGTAAGAAGGACAAGGAACAAGAGAAAGAGAGCGGGGAAGAATCTGATCAGTCTCACAAGAAGGAGAAAAAGAAGAAGAAGGACAAGAAGAAGAAAAGGTACAAATAAAAAATATTTATTATTTATTTATACCTTAATAATTATATTTGAAATGGGTAGAAAGAGCATTCATTTATTTTTATTTACTAACTTTATTACATATTTATATAATTTATAAATGCCTACTTAGCTTGATGAGTCTTAAAAATCATTTTTTTTTAAATATTGTATTTTGCGTTCATTAGTTGTGTCTAAAATATTAAATGAATAAAATTAAATTTAACATCTCTCTGCTTAATACAGGCTTCGTCAATATTAGAGATTCGGACATTTTCTGGTATATTTACCAAAAGTTGGTTGGAGAGATTACATATTATGTAGTACATATCAAATGCCTTCGAAAACTTTGTGTACTTTTGTCAGGCGTGCAGGATGATTTGTATATGAAAATGTGAGAGGTGCGAGACCCGAATTCGAATTCAGTATATCTGGTTACTTCTAAGGTTTATAAATTAGGTATGGATAGGTTTATAAATTAGGCATAGACTATGATATTGCAGTTTTTATCTGCTTGGACTTGCAACTTGTTCTGCAACAAGTAATAAATTGAATTACTACCATAATAAACATTTCAAATTCAAATATTTATATTCAATTATATATTTTTTAAACTTCAGAAAGAAAAAAGGTTCTGTCCTGAAAATAAATAGAAAAAAAACGCAGCAAGACCAATATTATTTCATTAATAAATTTTTTATATATTATTAAATTAAAATAACATTAATAATGAATGAGCCTACATGCATACAAACATTTTATTAAAAGTATTTACCACTAGTGACTCACCCTCGCTTCGCTCGGGTTCGTTTATACTAGGTTGATTTGCCATATAAACTTTCATCCCCATTTTCACCACCTTAAGGGAGGATTTCCAGGATAAAAAGTATCCTATGTCCTTTCCAGGGTCTCAAACTATCTTCTTACCAAATTTCATCTAAATCGGTTCCGTAGATCCAGAGATTACCCCCTACAACGTCACAAACTCACAAACTCATAATTCACAAACTTTAACTCTTTATTATATTAGTATAGATAACATATTCTATCAAAAATATCGACGACACGTTTGGCTCAGTTTGTAGTGACTCTACTTGCTATCTCTGAATGATCTGTGAATCTCCGAAACTGTTAGACCGCTTTAAATGAAATTTTGCATGGTGGTACCTTATATCTCCGGTCAATGTTTAAGATAAGACTTTTCATCCCGAAAAATTAGTTTCCGTGGGATATGTAAAAAACTATAGTAACTTATATAGCTTAGTACACAAAAACCACTGATTGGATTTTAATAAAATTTTGATTTATATATACTTCATACATCAGAATAACAAATTCCGGAAAAATGTACGGTTCCCGTGGGATAGATTTGTTTTTGTTTGTCTAGCTAGTTTAAAATATGTATGTATTTAAAAATTAAAGTTATAAAATATGTGTAGTGTATCAAATGTCTCAACATATTTATATTTATTTATATAAAAATACCAACAATTTCAGACACCGTTCCCGTTCAGCAGAGGAGGACCAGCCGGAGCCCTCGCACCCGCTGGTGTCCACCTCCAAGATAGACCCGCGTGAGATCCCCGAGGTGCCCGCTAACAGGTTCCTCATGCGCGGCGGCCGGGACCAGGACAGGGACAGGGACAGGAACGACCAGAGGCGGGATAGGGACAGGTATTTGGAACATTTCTTTTGGAAGTAAAAATTCATTATGCACGCTTGACTTGGGGGTGAGCTGGTGAATGCGTTACGGAAACAATGTACGTACGTTTGTTGCCATGGTAACCGTTGTTAATGTCTGACAAATGATATATAATATTATATTCTTTCCTTAAATGATATTCTATAAATATATGATTGTAATATACCTAATATGCGTTATTTTTAGTATCTTATCTATCCTAATTATTTAAAACATAAATTGAATTACATAAAGAGTACCGATAACCTACAGAGGTTTTACTTCTTGCACGTGTACACATTCATACACGCACTCTTTAATTTTTTATATTTGAATATTTAATACCATTGTTTATTGTATTAAATATTAAAATTAAAAAGAACCTAAACTTCAACTTGAATATCTAAATTCAACTTTAAAATGTTGTTTTGTTATCATACTTTTATAATTGTTTCCAGCTTTTGTCGATTTTTAATGTAAGTTTTTGATATATTGTTTTCTTTTTTTTGTATTTTATTTAATATAAGTTAATTTATTAATTGATTAATTTTTATTTCAAATTTTCTTTCTTTTTATAATGTTTTGATTACTGTACTTTTTTTTCTGTTTACGTGATTATGTTATGCGATGTTTTCATCCATTTTTATAGGTATAAGTTTTAAAAATCCTACCTTAAGGGTTTAATAATTTATTTATTAATGTTATTTTAAAGTATTAATATTTAGTTTAGCCTTGTTAAAATTATATTATTTTTGTAGGATGCGGTATCGTGAAAGGGAACGTCATACTTATACTCGCAGCGGCAGGTCCATAAAGGGACGGGGGGTGTTTGTAAGTAATTTATATATTACTAGCAGAACCCGCGGCTTCGCTCGCGCTAAAACTACAAAAAAAATCTCTAAAAGGGTAGTTTCATATAAACCCGTTTTACCCCCTTTATAGGGTGAATTTCGAAAAATTCTAAAACAAGTATTTATTTAATTTTATTGAAGAGTATTAATACCAAGCTTCAAGTAATTTTGATAAATTTTTTTTTGGATTGTATTATAAAGTGTTTTCCCGTGGGAATTAGATAATCTCCCGTGGTAAAAAGTAGCGTATGTCACTCTCCAACCCTCCGTCTATCTGCACACAAAAAATCATGCCAATCGGTCAGTCTGTTTTGATGTGAAAGAAGGATGAAGTATGGATGTAGTAATTTTGTTTCTGTTACATATATTGAATTATAAGTAATAAGACTACACTTTTTTTTAAAAACACAACTAATAATTAACTATTATTATATAATTATAATTTATTATTATTGCATATTTTAACATTTTGTACATATTGAGGCTATTACCTTACAAGTGTAACATCTATCTATACAGATAAATAAAATTGTAGTGTCTGTATGTAATGTCAAAATAACATGTTTGTACTAAATGCATATGAAAGTATGTACGGTTCTTTAAGGATTGTTTTTTAAATTTCTGTCTATTTATTTCGGCTAATCTCCGAAACGGCTACTTTTATTTTAGAAAAAGAATCAGGGTTCCGCAAAAAATGAAAAACCCATGAAATTGTGAATGACATCTCTCATGAATATAAGAACATTTCTAATTATATAATACTTTTTTATTTTAAATAAAACTATCTTTTCAAATTATTTTGTGGATTTATTTTGATTTTTAGCTCCCGACGGTTCGAATGCTTTACAGCAATCATGGTCACGGGAGAGATTAAGGTTTCAGACGTCTCAAAGGCTTTATATTTATATACTTGTTACCTTATCAAAAATCAAAATCAATTCGCGAAATAATCCGAAAAGATAGTTTTATTTAAAATGTCTAATAATAAATAACGTGTCCGTGTGGCAGCGCTACCGCACGCCGTCGCGCTCGCGCTCGCGCTCGGCCACGCCGCCGCACTGGCGCCAGGCGCAGCGCCGCATCGTCAAGCTCGCGCACATTGAGGTTACAGAGCTTTTTCTTATTTTATATTATGACCGGCATTGCCCGCGGCTTCGCCCGCGTTAAGATGACCAAAATCCAAATTCTTAGCTTTTACATGTTAGTATACTCTTACATTACATTTTTTGTATTTTTTCTCAAAATTAGACATATTCCCGCGGTAAAAAGTATCCTATATGTTGACCCGGATAACCAGCCATACCAAATTTCATCAAAATCCTTCATCAGACAGACAGACAGACAAAAATTCTAAAACTATAGATTTGGCCTCTGTATCGATAATAATGTTTATTTCAATAAGATTTTCAAAAAAATATCTAATGTACAAATTCGGCTCAGTTACAATTTTATTATATGTATAGATTTATGAAATATAAATTTATTTAGGCACACCACTTGTATACACACGGTGGTTATGTGGGACTCACCGGCTAGAAAGCCAGTACTACCCACTAAAACCCAATAATACCTCCCCCGTCTTAATGGGGCGTCGCAGGATCACTTACCCACTCACCTCGATGCCCCGACGGCAGGTCTGCCGAAGCAGACTACAACCATGGGGTTGCTCCATCGGTCCACTCTGCTATCAGAGAAGTACCTGGTATACCGCCCACCGAAGTGGGCCACCTTCCTGTGTGTCTGTTGGCTTCGCGCCCAATATTTTGTACTATGTAGTGTTTTATAAAAAACGATTTTCGTACGCTTACATGGCTAAGGTTGGCTAAACATTAAGATATATATCAAAACAATGTACTAGAATATTGTAAACCCTAAAAAGGTCTACAGAAAAGTCTACAATAGCATATGTCTATCTCCTAAGGTGTCTTCCAATAACTATTTTTATCTATTTACACCTACATATGAAACGAGCAAAGCGACATTAAATCGCTTGTATTAATATATTTTGTTTGATTATAGCAAATGGAGCGTGAACAGCCAGAACAAGACCTGAGAGCAAAAGCAGTTGATAAAATGCACAGCAGTGAGTATATGACTTGCATACAAATATAGAAAATCTTTTTTTTACTACATTTGATGTTATTATAAAATAATAATCTCAAGCTTACACTATGTCCGGAATATCCATTAATAATAAATATGTTGGGACATTAACACACAGCGCCATCTAGTGCCATGGTAAGCTACGAATCATGTGTTATGGATGCCAGATAGTTGATACACTACACATATATAACTTTAAATACATTCATATTATAAATATAAACACCCATGAGTATAAATATTTGTGCTTATAACACAAATGAATGCCCCCAGCGGGTCTCGATCCCGCGACCGCCGCGCTGGCACAGCAAGTAGGGTTACTACAAACTGAGCCGAACGTGTCGTCGTCATTATACATGTGACAGTACAGTTTAAAGATAATGTTATAATTTTATAATATATAAGATAATGTTATATTTTAATAATAATTTTGGTTTGTGTTATATCTTGCCTGTTTGGTATGGATGGTATAGTAATTTTTTTTTCTTCAAAATATTAGACGAAATATTTTTACAGATGTTATAATCTTGCCATTTAATCACGTGGTGTATTTTTTTTATTTATAATATACTAGCGACTCATTCTTGCTTCGCTTAGGTTCGTCCCTAAGTACGTTTTTACGCTTAGTATGGAATAGTTTTTTTTTCGTGAATTTTTCGATGTTTTAATAGTTATTCTGCTATTCGAGGTGAATCCAACAAAACAAAGATCATAAAAATTGGCAATGCATTTCTCGAGTTATAAGTGTTGTAACAAACCCGACTTTGTTTTATATATATGTATAGATTATATATGATTTTATGTATGTTTGTTCTCTAGGAGAGGGCGAGGAAGGCACTCCGGAAAGACCGCAAGAGAAAGAAGAAGGAGAATGCGATACTACATTGGGTGGGTGATTTATTTTCATTTATTTAGCATTTAATAAACTTACACATATTCAACATAAAAAAGTACTTTATGAAAAAAAGTACGCACGCAAAAAGTTTTACTTCTTTGTTTTTTTTAGAGCATTTACATAAAAAATAGTTTTTTTCCAATGTTTTAACTTTTTATGTTTTTTACTTTTTTCCGTTTGATATTATTTCATTTGATATCCATAGCATGAGGGTGCATTAAATCAGTTCGCCATCTTTGAGTGTCTGCCATATGGGATTTACAATGACATCACTTTGCTTATTTTGTTTCGTTCATCAAACCCTTTCATTTAATGCCCACATTATAAGGGTAGCTATGGAAATGATAAATCGCTATTTTGTAACGTCCGTCATATTGGATTAAAAATGACGATATTTAGGTAATCGCACAGTCACGAGACCTAAACGAGTGTGCCTTTCAGCTCAATCGGACACTGGGAAGTGGGTCAAAACACTGGGACAGGTGAAAATAAACAAAAGCTTGTAATAATTTTTATTGTTATCGATATAAAACACGTGTTGTGTATATAAATAAATAACGGAATAAATATCTTGAATATTGTTAACCCACTATACTAAAGGGAGATTTTACGACTAACTTCTTACTGTAGTCTAAATCAGTTGCATCACAAAATATTCACTCTCGACATTTTTCTCATTACGCGCCAAAAGAAGTATAACTTCAAAAAATTTAATAGTTATTTTTTTATATTTACACAAAGGCTTTTATGTATGTTAATTATGTTAATGTGGATTTTCATTTTTGTTAGATAATTCTCGCCACGAAAAGGTCGATTACAATGCTTTGGACTTTGAAGAAGATATTGAACATGATGGTATGTCTACAAAATTACTTTTATAATAACCATGTGAATTATGTACATCAAACAAAGAGTATTTTATATTTTTTATTTAATATTTTTTATTTATGCATTATTTTATAAAGTGAACAAAGGTAGACAAAGTAATAGAAGCACATTAACAATAGTATTTTTTTTACTATTATTAATGTGTAGAAAACTGCGTCTGAATTATTTTCATTATTCAAACACTAATATATTGGTGAAAACATAGTGATAATTAATATACTACATGCTAGGTACGTTTAAACGGTTAGTATGGAATAGATAGACTATATTATATACATATATACATAGGTATGACGAGTTATTATGGGTTGGGCGGATATACAAAAGTTGGGTAACTTTTCAGGATATTTTGTTTATGATAGTTTTTAAATCAAATTCCTACGAATTCTGATTATAAGATAGCTAATCTAATGAAAATATTGCTCATGATAGGGCCAGTCACTTTTTAAAGTAGATGCGGAGATATTTCGATTTTTCCGAATTCCGAAACCAGAAGACTGACGTGAGTGACAAAGTACTGATAAAATACACAGTTTCATAAGATATGCAAGAAATTTATTAAAATTTAGAAGAAATCTCTTAGGAACTAATAATGGCACATATTTTGAGTCTCACTTTTAATCTTAATTCACTTAAGTAACAATTAAAAAAATATTTTTTATATTTTTTGACTCTTCCATATTTTTGACGCTGATTGTTTAGTTTAGTTTTTAGTTTTGAAACTATTCCTTTCATCTCTTTTAATTGCTTATTTCTGCATTTTCTCTGTCTTTCACTTCTCCTCTTTGCTTCTTTTGCTCTTTGATCTTCGTTCACAATGGGCCTTATTAGCTCAACAACTATTGTTTATGCTTCATTGTTAATAGTTGAAGGAGTATTCTGGTGTACAAAATTATCTGTAGAAGAGTTGTTTTTTTTGCCTGTACTTTAATGAATATTTTTTCCATTCTTTTCTTGTCAATCGTTGCTCCCGAGGCGTCATGTTCTTAATATTTTTCTTTGTCCCTTTCCTTTCTTTTTCAAGCATGCAACCTTTTTTTCTTTTTATATTCAGCTAATTTAATTCTCTTCTTTATTTTCTTTTTCAATATTTTATCTCTATCCTTAGACATATTTTGTTTCTTTTTATGGAGCCATGATGTTATAAGGAACTGAAATAATTATACAAAAAATAATTAAACACGCCCAGAACAAGTAGTACCCTGGAAACACTAGTCCTTTGGCGCAATATCAGACAACGGACTGACGCCAACGGACTGACGAAACAAACAAGAATTTGAGGTTTCTTTAGAACCAACGTTTATTTTGATATTTTCGAATATCAATAAGTTACATTATAACAAATCAAAGTTAAGTATGTTTAAATTAAAATATAACACAAATTTACAAAAAAATAGCGACTCACCATAGGACTGACATTTTTGTCCCTGGGTCGGCACGTGTTCACACGACAAACACAACTCTAGCACCGGCACAAAAATGACGGCCGAACAATGTCGCGGTCTGCAGCTAACTTTATTACCACCTCAAAGTTTAACGCGATTTGGATTTGAGTCGCCGGTATTTAGCGAGATATTTCAAATTCGAACAACACACAACGGACTGACGAATAAAACTGAACACAAAGTTTCTTATTATTTTTACAACAAAGTTGAAAATATTATAATATAAAGTTGTGATCATATATTATTAAATACATCACAGATTATAGTGAAATAATAAATTTTATTATATTAAAGGTAATATTTAATACACAGCTATTTGATTGCGCGCTTTTTACGTTGTGACACGCCAAAGTACTGACGTTTTGAGGATATATTGTGAAGTTTCACAAATTTGTATTTATAATGGATGGCTAAAATTGGGTGACCAAATAAATGGCTTTTAATTGTTTTAGAATTAATTATAAATTATAAACAAAATGTAATAATACATCATTTTATTGACTGGTGACATCGAGTTACCCATTTTTTGTAGAATCACCCGGTTGTATTATAATGTGTTTTCCCGTGGGAACAAGATAATGTGCCGCGGTAAAAAGTAGCCTATGTCACTCTTCAGCCCTCCCAACTATCTCCACTCAAAAAATCACGCTAATCCGTCACTCTATCTCGACGTGAAAGAAGAACAAACAAACACACTTTCACATTTATAATATTAAGAATGGTGCCGTGTCTTCACGATCTACTAGCTAGTACTTGTTGTATACTTATGTCTATGGTTAAAATATATTGGCAACACTGTGTAAAGTTAGAATAAGTTTGAATTGAATAAAAAGTCGCGCTGCTTGGACGTTCGAGTCACTACATAGTATAAAACAAAGTCCCTTCAAATATTTGTATTTCATATCAACCGTTATAACGTACCTAGGGACGAACCCAAGCGAAGCGAGGGTGAGTCGGTAGTTTTCATTATTAAAAACCTGAACCGAGTCGAAATTAAAAGCTCATATAAAATAGAACTCACATTCCCATGTATTCCAGAGCCGGCCAGAAAGCGGCGGCCGGGCGCCAGCGAGCGCGCGGACATCCTGGCGCGCGCGCTCGGCGTCAACCCGAAGCATCAACGGTATTATATACTCTTATACTTATAATACTATCAGTTAAGTATACACGTTGATTCACATATACATATTTTTGTCTTTATATTTATTATGATTTACTATTTATTTTGATGATTATTTAAAATAAAAAATATTCTTATATAATCATTTTTAAAGCAAAACTTTTAAGTTATAATTTAATTATCAAAAACAAAACTCAGTGCTTAAAAACTACACAATGTTAATGTACCAACATATTTGTTTAATTTATTTTATAAAAAATATAAAGAAAGTCCCGCTTAGTCTATTTTGCCAGTTCTTCGCAGGTCTGAGGCTTCTTCTTTCCGAACTGGTAGTAGACTCATGACATTCAGTAAAAAATTGTAATAATTTAATGCTGAATAAAATAATCTTCCTCAGCGATATGAGAGAGCCACGGGAGCAAAAACGTCGGGAAGGTATGCAATCCACAGTCAACTACGTCGCTCCAAAGCTCTCGTCGGCGATAGCAACAGTATCACACGAGGATCCAAAAGATGTACAGAAAGACGATAATAAAGGATACGATCCGTTCAGTCTCTTGAGAAGTCAATTCACTAAGAATAAGGATAAGTTTATGAGGTAAGAGACTCTGGTTTTTTTTAGTTATTTGTCCTTTGAGAGTTAAGATGAGGAAAGGAGAATGAGAAAGAGAGAGATATATAAAGATTAATATGCGTCTTTTTTAAGAAATTAGTTACTCTTCAATATATATAAATAATATAGAAATTTGAAACTAGTAAGCATGTCTTAAGGCAGTGGTAACTTGTTTATTAGTGAAACCGAGTGACGCGGGTTCATATCCGAGGTCTCGCACCTCACCTCAATTATTTCCAACATGATTACCATTTGTCTTACGGTGAAGGAAAACATGGCGAGGAAACCTGCATGTCTGAGATAACTTAGTAAGTTTTTCGTAAGACATGCTCAGTCCGCCCGCTCTTGGACAGCGTGGTGGACTATATTATTTCCATGGTATTGAAGGCCCGTGCCCAGCATTGGGACATTAAAAAATGGCTAAACACTACTACTAAAGTGTATCATCGCTATAATAGTTTTCTATTATTGATAATAATAATAATAAATATTAATAATATTATTTTTCATGTTTGCAATTTTTTATTGTTGCAGAAGAGATGATCGTCCAAATCGACTCGACAGAGAGAGGCCACGAGATGAAAGAGAATCACGTGATAAGTACAGAAATGAAAGGGACCGCAAACATTCCGAAAGAGATGAAAGGAATAAAATTTCTGAACATGAGAAAGAAGAAAAAAGATATCCAGATAAAGATAACATTGACGGAGAGAAAGATCGGAGAGATATTAGAGAAAGGAAAGAGATATTCAAAGAAAAAAATGACGATAAGCCTATCGAGAAACCAAGTGTTTCTAACGATAGGAAGATATTAGAAAAGGATAGCTCTAAAGAAAGAGACGAAAAGAAAGATAAGTCTGAGCGAGACAGATCCCGCGATCGGGACGAGAGGAAGACGTCAGATAAAGATAGGTCAAGAGAAAGAGATGATAAAAAGAAATCAGGAGACAGAGAAGATAACTCTGAACGCGATAAATCTAAAGATCGTGATGACGTAAGATCTGAAAAAGATAGGTCTAAAGAAAGAGATTATAGAAAAGACAGATTTGATAGGGATAGATCGAGGGACAGAAAGAGATTATCTCGGGAAAGAGATGATCGGAGAGAGAGATCCAGAGGCAGAGACAGCAGGAGGGCGAGATATCAGAGAGACAGATTTAAAGATAGAAGTGACAGATCTAAGGATAGATACGATAGATCTAAAGATCGAAGCGACAGGAGGGATAGGGAAGATAAACGGGATAGGTCAAAGGACAGAGATAGCAAAAGAGAAAAGTCATATGATGATAAAGATAGGAAGAGAGATAGAGATGAAGATAAGAAGACAGATGACAAGCCGTCATCAAGTGGAAAACAAAGGTTATTATAGTATTATTTCTAAGAAGCTTGTGCTTGTGTTTATATGTTGTCTATATATTTAAAAATATTTGGGTCAAATATCATTTAAATTATTTGTACGTATGTACAACACTAGAATTTATTGTCTTGATTATTTTATATCATTTTTAATATATATACTCTTTTCAGTAAGCTTTTCTATGTATTTGCTTCAAATGGAATTACGAAAATGGCTAGTTTTTATGTAATAAGTTAAAGAATGTATATTTAGTTCTTTTATTTATTATGGGGATGATATACTGTATGTATATTATTTTCAAAACAATAATTATAGGTTATTAATAAATGCGATCCATATAATATGTGAAGTTAGTTACAACACATTTAACTTTGATATTGAGATAATTTATAGGTTTCATATATTATATAAACTTTCACATTTATAGTTTTAGTTAGATAATTTTGATTTTATAATGCGTTTTGCAACAGGTCTAAATCACCCGACCGTGAGAAACCATCCGAGCGCAAGAGTACTGATAAAGTAGGAGAGGATGATAAGAAGAAGGTTTGTTTTGTGCATTTTATGTTAACAAGTAAAGAATTGTTGTTGTTGTTGGCACATTAACACCCAGCACCATCTAGTTCCATGGTAAGCTACGAGGCTTGTGTTATGGATACCAGATAGTTGATGCACTACACATGTATAACTTTAAATACATACATATTATAAATATAAACACCCACGACTGGAAGACAAATATTCGTGCTCATCATATAAATTAATGCCCCCAGCGGGATTCGAACCCGCGACCGCTGGCACAGCAAGTAGAGTCACTACACACTGAGCCAAACGTGACGTCATATTGAACACTTGAAATAAAAGCCGTACATTAAGAACTTAATACTTTTATAGGTTTACGTGAATATTTGTCGTTTAAAACAACCCTATTATTATATGTTTTTTTATTTCCTTGCGGTTTTATTATGATTTTAAAGGAAATAGAAATTTTAATGTTTCTTTATTTGTTATGAAGGAGGAGGAAAGAAATGAGGCTCGTAAGGAGTTGATGGAAATAGTTCGTCTGATCAAGTCCCGGCAGCGCGAGAGGGAGAGTAAGGCGTCGGGTATGTGATATAATAAATATATAATAATGTATTAGTCGTAGATTTAAAATCTTTTTATTTATTAGTTTTACCCGCGGTTCTCGCTCGTCGGTCTCGGTCGGTCTCGTGTGATAATAATTGATAAAAGCTGTATTTCAAGCAAGAATATAAAGTATTTATTTATAAATATATTTATTATTTTAAAATAGCAAAATTTAAATTCGTTTATTTTTTTTACAACTTCTAAAAGTAATAGATCCGTAAAAATAGAAATAATAACGGTAATTTTACTTAGAATATAAACATCAATACTATTAGAAAAAATGACCTTTAAATCTATACTGACAAATAAAATTAAAGTGTCTGTTATGTTAAAACAGTGTTTTTACTAAATGCATATGAAAGTACTATAATATTCGCCCCCGCTTCGTTTTGGGTTTTTCCCTAGACAAAAACAAATTTATCCCACAGGAATTGTACATTTTCCTGGGTTAAAAAGTAACCTATGTGACTATTCCTCGTATAATCTATCTGTGTGCCAAATTTCATCCAGATCCGTTGAGCCGTTCTAGCGTGGTTACAAACAAACATCCATCCTCACAAACTTACACATTTACAATATTACTATGTACAGGAAGCACGATTTAAAATAAATATTATATAAAAAGCAGTCATGAGGACTGCCGAAATAAGTGAAAACTTAAAACTATAAACACACAGTTGTTTTTGGATATTCAATTTAATTGTTTGGTCTTAAATTAAAATTTGTAAATTAAAACTGTTTACATTTATCGGGTTTTGATATCTATCGGCACTCTGGAGTGTTAGCGTTAACACGTCACGTGACCATGTCGATGACGACTTACATGAATTTACCCCCCCATCCAAACCTGCCTATAGACATTTTCACTTCAATAAATATTTATGTAATTTTCTTTAGCCTACAAGATTATCGAGGTTTGTGTGTCTTTTATATTAGTTAAGAAGTTATAATTGTATCAATATATTGCAGAAAGTAAAAAGAAGAGACGTTCGTCGAGCGAGTCGTCGGGGTCGCGCGGCCGTAGCTCCGGCAGGTACGTGTCTGATGTCAGTCACTTGGTGGAAAATGATTTATTCATAAATAAATAATTATAATTAATATGTTGGGACATTATCACACAGCACCATCTAGTTCCATGGTAAGCTACGAGGCTTGTGTTGTGTTGTGGATACCAGATAGTTGATACACTACACATATATAACTTTAAATACATACCTATTATAAATAAAAACATCCATGACTGGAGTACAAACATTCGTGCTCATCGCACTAATGAATGCCCCCAGCGGGACTCGAACCCGCGACCGCTGGCACAGCAAGTAGGTTAACTACAAACTGAACCAAACGTGTCGTCAAATCAAATTAAAGAATAATAATAATATAATTAATTGATGGTTAGAGTGAAATCCATATAAGACTAGCTTTTGTACGTGACTTTGTTTGCGTGGTTTATATGACGTGTATACTATATACTCACATTAAAGAATAATATAGACATTAGGGTAGTGCCAAAAAACAGTTCTTTTTCGTGTCTCGTATGAAAATATGTTAGTTTTTTATTTTTAAGAGTTCTCTTTCAAGATTAACTCAAAAAAAAATTTTTTAAGGGTCGCTCAAGATTATTAAAAATTATAAAAATGGTCAAAATTCATTGTTTTTTTTTATTTATTTTTTCTCGATGCGGTAAAATTTTGTACCTAAAAAAATTGTAACTTCCTCAAAGTTACAGCTTGGAATATTAATTTTTAAAGGTCGAAATATTTTATGTACAGATTTCTCTTTGTTACTACTTTATTATTTTTAACAGGCAGTGGTAGCCCAGTGGTATCGCGCTCACTAGGGAACCGTGTAAAGCGAGTTCAAATCCCGGGTGTCGCACCTCTGATATTTTCATGTGTGAATCACTTCCAACGTGATTACCACTTGTCTTATGGTGAAGAAAAATATCGCGAGGAAACCTGCATGTATGAGGGAACCTAGAAAGTTTTCTAAAGACATGCTCAGTCCGCCAGCACTTGGCCAGCGTGGTGGACTATGGCCTGATCCCCCTCGTATTTACGGGATGTCCAGTGCCTAGAAGTGGGACGTAAAAAAGGGCTGAATACAAAAAAAAATATACAAATACAATTATATTATAGGTATAGATGTGAAATAAGCCTAATTATTTATAATTTGTTCGTTCCAGAGGCACTCGGTCTAGACGCTCTCGCAGTCCGCGGTCTAGACGCAACAGACGCTCTTCGTCTTCTAATTAGACTCTGGTATCTGGTATGGTTTGTTAGGTTTAAGGTATTTTGCTTCTATTCACATATTTTAACATTAATAAAAATATTTTAATTAAATATTAACTTATTAGTGTTTTAGAATGAAATCAATTAGATTTTGTTTTTTTTTCACCAACTTAGATAAAGGAGATTTCTTTTGTCATTATTTTTTTATGTAAGTTTTAAATAGATGGGATAATATCTAGGTTTTCAAGTCGGTTATTTTTCTTTGCTATTTTTTCTTCGTCGAACGGACGGATGTTCGTTTATGAAAAATAAAAATTAGAGCACTGATTTTCTTCTATATTTTTTAATTGTTAGCTTAAAATATGATTCTTGCACGTATATTAAGATATCATGATTAATTTCTGACAGGTAATTTATCAGAATTTGAACAGGTTCTGACAGTATTGTGTGATTCAATATTACAGATAATAAATAAAATAATAATTTTCTTGTAATTAAAAAAATCTTTGAGCATCTGTTTTTCAATAGCTTTTTTTTAGGATTGTGATATTAATACACACATGTAAAATGACTGTAGTACTTGATGTGCACTACTACATACACGTGGTCGTGGGTTCGATTCTCATTTGTTGACTACATTTTGTATGAATCATACAAATGTTCTGGTTATGTTCTAAGTAAAGGGTTTTTGAGAGTGCTTCATTGCGTCATTAGATTGAAGGAAATGGAGTCGTTTTAATCCTTTCGTTGTCTAAATTCAAAGAAAAATGCATTAAAAGATAATAATGATATGTCAAATACATATAAGTGACGTCATTATAATACTATAATGGTATTTTATTTCTTACCGACTTAAAAAAAGTAGGTTTAGTTAGTTATGTATTTTCAAGGAAATATTTCTGTTTGCTATTTCAAAAAGGTTTCGTCTGTTTTTACTTTTTAGTGATGAAGCTAGATGTTAGTGATAATTTGGATTTCAATAAATAATTCGGATTAAATTGTTTTTTTTATTTATTACTCCCTAGTGGTAGCCCAGTGGTAACGCGCTCACTTGGGAAACCGAGTATAGCGGGTTCAAATCCCGGGTGTTACACCTCTGATATTCTCATGTGCGAAGCATTTCTAACTTAGATAAATAAAATTGACGTGTCTGTTTGTAACGTCAAAATAACAGCTTTTTACTAAATGTGTACATATTAAAGTATATAGGGTACCAGCATTGCCCGCGGCTCCGCCCGTGTTCAGATGACCAAAAACGTTCTTAGGTTTTATATATTAGTATACTCTTACATTGCAGTTTTTGTATTTCTCCTCAGAAATGAGATATTTTCCTAGGGTAATAAGTATCCTATATGTTGACCCGGATAACCAGCTGTCATCATATTAAATTCATCAAAATCCCTCCAGTGGTTTTTCTGTGATGCGGTAACAGACAGACAGACAAAAATTCTAAAAACTAGATTCGGCTTCTATCGATAATAATGTTTATTTCAATAAGATTTTCCAAAAAATATTTAAAGTACAGATTCGACTTAGTTACAATTTTATTATTATTATAGACCAGCGGCTCACCCTCGCTTCGCTCGGGTTCGTCGTTTAAATAGACGTTCGGTACGTTTTAAATAGATGAAAATATTTCTTAGCCAGCGTTGGCCATATAATTTTTTTTTCGTCATTTTTTCAATTTTTCTCTTTATTAAACCTTCCGTGGACCTTAAGGAACATACGAAAAAAAAATCGCGGAATTGGTCCAGCTATTCTTGAGTTATGCGCTTACCAACTAACATTTTTATTTATATAGATAATATACAAGAAAAACACAAATTTTAAATTTTTTTCTCTGTTTGTTCCGGCCAATCTCCGAAACGGTTGGAATGATTTTGACGGGACTTTCACTGGCAAATAGCTGATGTTATAAGGAGTAACTTAGGCTACTTTTATTTTAGAATAATAATTAGGGTTCCAGTTAATATAACGTAGTGAACAATATATTTGAGTACTATGCTCTGATACTATTCTGGGATATGACACATTACGGAAATTCATCTGTCTGGGAGGTACATGTACAGACAGTTGAAATAATTTGTATACAATACACCTACATAATATATAATATGTACGTATTCAAATCAAATTTCTATGTCCAATGTGACTTTGATCAAAGTTAGAAGATTCAATAAAGGCGTCGGCAACAATGCATAAGTTCGATTCAAATAGTTTTGGCAGTTTAAATACCACTGACCAATGGCAATACGAGACAATCAGAGAAAATTAATCTTAGATAAAGAGATCTCACTAATGCCATAATCCTTTAGACTAGATAGCTTAGAAATAAAATAATAACTTATTCTGCATGTGTTTTGACCGAGCAAGCGAAGCGCCCCCGTTTCAAGTCTAGCAATCTGTCAGTTTGTTGGTAAGTACTACTCTACAGGTTGTATTACACAACCAATCTGGATGAAACTTTTACCACTATAGAATTTTTTGTCGTTGGACATTTTTGATTGAAGGGTACCTACTTCCTCCAAGAATGGGGCTACTGGATACCCCTTATGAGATCCAATTTCGATGGTTCATTTTTGTACGAAAGATAGTAACTTAAATTTGGTCTCATAAAAAAATGGCGAAGATCTGATGAGGATCTTCGGCGTGATGAGCAGGATAGCTCCTCAAAATGCAGTTTGCAGTCGTTTTAAATATTATCAACTTGATACGAGTGCTCGTACATATATATGTATGTATGTCTAGGGCCGTATTTAACTATAGCGCCGCCCCTGGGCACAAAAAAAAATGCCGCCCTATTATCGAAATTTAGAATAAAATGTTGAAAGTTTAAATTTTTTAATTATTAATTTTTCGAAAAATGCGAAAAAAAAAAATTTATAAATGATATCATTTTTTCGGAAAATGTACCTACAAGTTAACCTTTTTTTTAAATTTCATTTTTTGATAAATAAAAAAAGCATTTTCGTTAACGTGAAGAAAATTTTTTCCCACCCTCCGAATTTTGCCGCCCTGGGCACTAACCCCGAGTGCCCCTAGTGTAAATCCAGGGCTGTGTAATGTGTATGTCGGTACATTGATTTACATATTATGTAAACATACAACGTTTCTTACATAAAAATTACTTTGACCAATTTTTAGACATTTAGATCGTATAGGCTGACACAATTGGTCAAAATTAACTACAGATAAATTATAATAAATATGCCAGGACATTAACACACAACACTATCTAGTTCCATGGTAAGCTACAAGGCTTGTGTTATGGATACCAGATAGTTGATACATTATACATATATAACTTTAAATACATACATATTATAAATATAAACATCCATGACTGTAGTACAAACATTCGTATTCATCACACAAATGAATGCCCCCAGCGGGACTCGAACCTGCGACCGCCGGCGCAGCAAGTAGGGTCTTACAATCTGAGCCAAACGTGTCGTCAATTAACTACAGATGTATATTTGAAAATAACTACTGATTATTAATCGGATTAATATGTATTATGATTGTAATGTTATTCCTTAATGATGAAACGGTTGGACTGTTTTGAATGAAATACATAGATTTTGATCTAGAGTATTACATAGGCAGTAAGCTACTGATGGGTACCCAATGAAAATGACCAAAAACTCATGAACCAAGGGTAAGTCCCTAGTAGTATTATAACTTTTGAAAAGAAATTAGAGTAGGCTTTAAAAAAAAATATATATATATTTTTATTCGAAGCATTTTGTGTAGGAATACTTATAATAATACACTTAATGAAAGTCTATTTAGTGATATAATAAGTATTCATTTGTCAATTTTTGGTAGTCTGGATTAGATCGAGTTACTTGTAAATTACCTATTACTTTATAATATTAATAGTTTGTGATTTACTTAATATTTATTTGCTTATTAAGAGTAAGAGGAATATCGCTGCTGTCTACCCCCGGAAAAGTTTTTGCGAAAATCCTTCTTAACCGGCTCATTCCAATATCAGAAACAATTCTTCCAGAGACTCAGTTTGGTTTTCGACCTGAGAGAGGAACCTGTGAAGCTATATTCTCTGTTCGCCAGCTTCAAGAAAAAAATAAAGAACAAGGTCGACCCCTATACCTCTGCTTCGTCGATCTTGAAAAGGCATTCGACAGTGTTCCTCGAGACGCACTGTGGGTCCTGTTGATAAAACTGGGATGCTCTGAGAAGTTTGTGAGGATGATACGACTCTTGCATGACGATATGCAACAGATTGCGTCGCGGTAAAGGCGAACAATCAGATTTTTTTAATGTCACCTGTGGTGTGAAGCAGGGATGTGTACTTGCGCCAACACTCTTTGCTCTGTACTTTGCCGTCGTCATTCGAGAAACCCTGAAACGAACTTCAGAAGGTATTCGGATCCGTTTCCGAACCGATGGCAATTTATTCAACCGTGCCAGACTAAAAGCCCGCACCAAAGTCTCTTATTAGATCTCCATAACAGAGATTATGTACGCTGCTGACCTGTGCTTTGTGGCAGACACTGTGAGGGTTTGCAGGCGCTGATAAGTTGCCTCAACGACGTTTGTTGTAAGTTTGGTCTTTCAATAAACGTCAAGAAAACCGAAGTGATGGCTATGAACATACACGAACAGTTGTTAGTTCCTGACTTCTTAATCGGCAACAGCAAACTGAAACAAGTGGAGAGTTTTAAGTATTTGGGCAGCATAGTCATATATAAAGGGGATCTTGATGCAGTAGTGGATCAGAGAATATGTGCCGCAGCAGCTGCTTTTGGCAAACTACAACCCAAAGTTTTCCGCTCGCACGATCTCAAGTTGACTACCAAGATCTCTGTGTATATAGCAATAGTTCTCCCAAATCTTTTGTATTCATCAGAAACGTGGTGCCTCTATCGTAGGCATATAAGGACTTTGGACAAATTTCATCTTAAATGCCTCAGAAACATCATGAACATCAGATGGTCGAACCGTATTAGAAATACGAATATTTTAAGGCGAGCCAAAGTTCTCGGCATAGAGGCCTA